AAGCGGCGTTAAACTCAACTCACTCACTCACTCACTCACTCACTCACACTTTGGCGTGACGAACGAACGCTTTAACCACAAGTCTACCCGACCGCACCCTCCCTCCCCCCCCCCCCCCCCCCCCCCCCCAACCCTTCAGCGAGTTGAGCATTCTTGCCTAATCACGGTGTTTTAGATGTCACATCCATTCAAATTCTATTTGCTACAGCGTCATATCAAAAAACGTTTAAATATGCTACAGAATCGAAATATCATGAAAATCTGTTGATTCCGGAAAAAGGAATGAGGCCCAAATTTCTCTTTATTTTGCATAATGACATATAGTTTTAAAATGCACGTTCCGTATGGCTAGTATCTCCTGGCGCAGAATCAACAACTGCAAGGACAACAGTGTGACGTCACAAATACACACCCACCCACCCACCGCACAACACACACAAACGCTCACGAACACATGCATGTATAACGCTATATAACTGCAGTTACTTGAACGTGACGATAAGCCCTATGTCCCCTCTCCTATTTGTTGTAAAATGCCGTAACCCTAAACGTGTACTTTTAACTCGACATAAGGTATCCTCTGACGTCTTGGTGGTGTGTTTCAGGACTGGGGGTTGGAAATTGTCAGGACGTCGCTTGTACCTGTGACCTACATTGCTGTCAAAACCCCCGTGGTGGCGTCATTGTGCTTGTTTGAATGCTATATATATACATAACTGGTGAATGATTGCTGGACAAATAATACTAAAGCGATATCACCTGTACACAGAGGGGCTGATGTGGTGTCACTGCCCGGGGATTAACTTCCTCTTATTTCTATGCATCTTTACATACATGGCTTAGCATTCAATTACACATACAATGGGTGCGTTATTCCGCTAGTGATCGCACAGTGAGTGGCATAGGCCGGTGATAACACTGGTGAATACGGGACAGAGGAACGTCGACACCTCCGATTACCTACATGTTATATGTACACATCGTCCAACCGTTTAGAACAAATCCCTTGTGAACAGCCACATGTATGACTAAGCATGTAATCGGAGGACATCACGTACTGCGCGTTAGAGGGTTAACGCATGGAGGCCTGCTTGTTGTTAAGTCCTGTGCACAGCGTGTATAATTACATTAGTCAGGTTATTGCTAGAGTTTAACGATCTCAAGACTGAAAGAATATCTTTATTGAGAGATTGATCGGAACCTGATTCATTCCAAAGAATGGCATACACGAGTATGTACGTTCTACTGTACAGCGCACACGAGAATGTACGTTCTGCTGAACAGCACACACGAGAATGTTCGCTGTGCTGGGCTGTGTGCAGTGAAGCAGTTCAACTGTACTATTTTCACGTATATAATTCACATATACTTACATCTGGCACCACATGAGATCAGGATAATAATCCACAAATGGCGTATTTTGATCTCCATGAAAGATTTTGCACAGACTATTTGTAGACTTCCCTGAACTGACATATACACATGTTGGTATGTAGTCGGGTATATCTACTTCAGGTGAGCCTTTCAACTTCCGGGTGGTGTGTACAGGGGTAAGTGTTACTGTGACACAAAGCAACAACACATATATACCCGTCAACCACGCATTAATATCTATGTCATGTTAAGGCGGTCGTTGTGTACATTATTGTGCCTTGGTGTTAGAGAGTTGGTTTAAAGGGGCTTTAAGCAGTATTCAGGTTGTATTACACTGTGTCAGCTTAATGAGCGAGAAAGAGCAAAGATTGATTGTTGTGAAACCAACGAGCAAGGATGTTGTGCTGACAGAACAATAATCGTAATCAGAGAGAATTTAGGATCCTGGGACGACTATGGGACGTAACTCTGTTCATTGTCTTAATTGACCGGGTCACTTGACAATATGACTTCATGATCACAATAGTCTTTGCAATGGCATCAACGCATAAGGTGGAATAAGGGCTCTTTCTGACTGTGAATATGCATAATATGAGACATTAGGCAAACATTTAAACTTGAAAACGAAACAAGGATCTATACCGAAACGCCGCCTTAACAAATTGTGTCTACTTTGTCATCCGTCAGCTTCTAAGTAATGCCTGTCAAACAATTCATAACCATGAATGTTACCAGATGAGTTAATATTGATGTGAACTTTGTTCATTTCATTTTAACAAGTGGGACTAATGAAAAGCACTAAATGCATAATTAAGACTAAAATGTATAAATTAACAAAATGCATATTTTTTTAGGTTTTCAGCAAATATTTCCCAGCTATGAGCAATTCCTTCTTCTGGGATGTAGCTAATAAGAGTACAAAAGGGTGAAAGAGTCAATTTGGGTCACGAACATTCTCATACTTAGATACTTAGAAAATAATGTTCTCGCATGGGCCATACTTGAACGTAGACGAAAGGATAGTTTGACAAATTTAATTTATACAGTCTGCTACAAGGCGATAACTATTTGACGGCAATCATTAGGTATATATGTCAAGTTGCTGCACTATTCATTGCTTTGTACCGATTAATGAATTTGTCTCACTGGGAACTTGACGAATACTCTCTGGCGTCACGCTGATCACGTTACATGTAACTCCTTGTCACTGACTGAATAGCAAGTCTTATACACAATCGTGTTATACATGTAGTCTATTATCAGAATGTTCCATACTTCGATATTGGGAACACAAGCTAATTCACTGATCACAACCTCTTAACGTTTCCTTTGTAAATAATAGCACTTTGATGAAACATTGCATAACAAGTCCAGGTGAAGCTGGAGAAATCACAGAGGCTGCATAAGGGTATCAGGGTTGATGTTAGTTGGCTGACATTCAACTGCAGACAAAGACAACATATAATGAACACAGAATGATGTGATGGTGATAAATAGATGAACATGTATATATGTATGTATATATGTATTTATGTATAGAATGAATACTAGGGGGTTATAAGTGGGTGGTACTTATGTGGCTATAACTCATTCAGAGTTAGCACCACCACCCGGCTACACTACCATTAAAGTCATCGGACGCAGTTAGCATACGTGGTATGGCCGATAATGCATTTTTAATTTGGTGTTATATACACTTGATCCTCTCTTTCAACGAGCGCAAACATTATTGTGGAAAGTTCAATACTCACAGTTGAAGTTATTTGCTTCATTGTATGACAATGTTCACTGAAATAGTTATTGTTCAGCAAAAGTGTCTTGATACGACTCAAATAAACATAAATCATGACACATTAGTTTGTTTCATGTTGATCAAATGATTGTTTAACCAAGGAGGGTTGAGTGAAAATTTGATCTTGTATGTACATTTTTCAAAACAGACTATTGTAAAATCTTCAGTTGCATGGACATCACAATCAAATGACATCAATACTCTCTGCTGCTGAAGATGGTTAACTGTATTTTCAACACTCAAGACAGTAGTTAATTATTACTGTTTACAAAATGTAAAAGTTGGAAGAATGATTTTGGATGATAAATAAAATCTCACCCACCTGGGGGGCGGTCGGGTAGCCTAGTGGTTAAAGCGTTCACTCGTCACGCCGAAGACCCGAGTTCGATTCCCAACATGGGTACAATGTGTGAAGCCCATTTCTGGTGTCCCCCGCCGTGATATTGCTGGAATATTGCTAAAAGCGGCGTAAAACCGAACTCACTCACTCACTCACCCACCTGTCTTTACCATCACTCAATTCTGGAATTTTACACTTTAAAGACCCGTGTTGATATATTTGATGTCAAAAGACACTCCGGTGAGATTCTTTATGTTTCCAGTCTTGGGGGAATGTTATGTAATGATACTGGAAAATATATGTAATATTTGTACATATACATGTATATGTTATTTATCGTTATGTATAATCACTGGGTGAATGGTTAATAATGTGATAAATTCTGATTCTGTTCTGTGCATAGATGATCTGGAAACCTGTAGATACTATTTAAATAATTATATTGAAATCTATTTAATATATTCTGTGTGTTTTTCATAATGAACATAATGAACTCAATGGATCTATTGTCTCATACCATGACTGTGATTTTGGATGATAAATACCTCCTGTCTTTATCATCGCTCAAGCCTTGGAATTTTTTCTCTTGTAAGAATTGTGTTGATATATTTGATATCAGAGACACTTCGGTGAAATTCTTCATGTTTCCAGCTTTGGGGCTGGAAAATTTGTACATGTATAAGTCATTCATCATTGCTGGAAAATAGCTGAAAGTGGCATAAAAACATAACACTCACTTTCCCTGAAGAATAAAGAAGCTTCAAGGCCGTCACGTTCACATGAACCTTGCGTTGCACGTGCGAATTTAACACTGCTGAAGGTGGGGATCAAACAACTCAGTCTGCTTGACAATTGACATATTTATTAAAGTACATAGTTTATATAGTAATTTTGTAGATTTGTAACAGAGATTAACACTTTTTTTCTTATGGTCTGACTTGTCAAACCTCGAGAAGACTATGATGAATAACCAGCTGTTAAAACTGCGACCGTTGCCAAACAAAGGGGAGATGAAATGGGTTTTGAAAAGACTTTCATTATCATTGCACTGCAAAGCGACGTGGATGTATGTGTATGTGCCGCTGCTTGTACGAGTCTAGACTTATGCCAGTTATACAGTAATGGTGTGAAGAGATACCCAACTGAGACACATTGTACTGTATCTCCTTAATGCCGAGTGCCAGGCAGGGTAACAACAAGTACTATCATTTTATTATCTTTTGATACCCCTGACATTCCGCTTGACGATGCAGGCAATCACGGAAACAACGGTTTTCTCCAGAAGATACACACAGTGCTTATTGCATGTTGGGGAAAAACCATGTCATCACTGTCAGCAATGATGTTTCCAATGGTGGGAAAGATTTGGATCGTGGCATAGGCTCTGTGAGTTGATTGTCACAGCTGGTGTCAGGTATTATCATAATCTTCTTGTCGCAACAGCTAACGGATATCAAGAGTCTCCAAATGAAAGAAGTAAGACTCATAATAATGTACATTTTCAAAATCATATTTATATTTTGAGCGTATACAGTTTGTTGAACAATTGTTTAGCTGAGTGAGTTAGCTAACAGTGCTTTGGTGAGTATTATTATCAGAGCTAGTCAACTCTGGTGAAACTCACGAGCATGGGTATGGTGCTGACAAACCTAGAATTATAAAGAGGGCGAATCTGGTACTCGAACCGAAGGTCGTAGTTTTCTGGTACGCCCAAGAAATGCAAATTTACATAGAGAACTGAGTGACGATTGGGTAATGCTGCCCCTCAATATCATAACGATAATTCCGCACACGAGATTGGAAAATAAGTTAGCGCATCATACGTACGTCAAGTCTACTATGAGGCTTCATGTGTATACTATGTCGTGGCATGTGTGTTTGTGAAGCCCGCCGTATTGTTCCCTACTGCACAGTGCTTTAGTGACTACAGCTATATCTAACCATCCTCAGACAATACATAATCTCTCTTAAGCTGTCTTTAAAAATATGTATATGTATATACATGTAAATATGTATAAGTTTCTGAAAATAAGCTTGCTTTGGTGAAACAATGTACATCTCTGAAATCAGTAGCTCTTATTGGGTAAGGAGTTTAAGGCAGCTGTGTAGGAAATCTTCAGTTATATATATTGCGTCAACGCTTGGTGCAGGAGGAAAACTGATTTGAAGAAACCCACGATCAGAGGTACGGTGCGGAAAAGCTACGAAGGGTAACCACAACTAAATCTGAGAGACACACGATCACGGGCGTCTGGCACACCTAAGGGACGTAACTCGGCACTTCGAATGATAGCGTCTCAGACGTTTTCAAATGGAAAGATAGAGTCAAGCGACTGATGTAAGCCCAGACCTCATGGAAGACGTATAACGAGACATGTGAATGTGCTGCTTTGACCTTCGTACATTGTACACAATTTGGTCTTTGCAGTTAGGTCTCATCATCAGCAGACACCGCCATGTTCACGTACTGTTTCTCTAGTTTCTCGTAAGTTGGTGCTTCAGTTGGCGTGTCCCTGTCAGATGTGAGGGCGTCGTAAGTGCTGCCAGATGTCCCCGCGCCTGTAATGATATTATTACACATCAGCCTGTGGTCGCCCCCAGTACAAATCATGCACAGTAAACCTATTTGTGACAAGATTGAGCTCGCAATAAATACTAGTGGTGGGTAATCAATCTTAATCCTCCTTGTGACCTCAATATTTTATGAAACAAGGACATACGACCTGCATATCACTGAAACGATCGTCGATAACCAGGTTGAAACATTCGCATTGAATCCTAGCATTGGTTGACAAGGATTGGATATATACCTCTTTTCTTTATGTACTTGAAATTCCGCCATTTCATTCGCCAAGGAGCGATCTCATGTCATTCTATTTTGAATCTGCCTTTGTCGCTTTCTTACATAAAAACAATCATATTTTAGGCCACTAAATGCTTTATGGTAAACAAAACAACATCGACCACCGTCTTCTTCCACAGTCAATATTGTTTTTTTCGGGTCCAGTAAACAGGAATGTAACTAATGTCCAGTCTATAATCCTTGTTTTACCTGACTGACGATGTTGCTGGCGAGTGTGCTGAGTTGTCACGGTAGATGCAGCTACCTCATGATATCTGTTTAGAAACAGTAGCGTCACATTGCAGGATATTCTATTGTGTGTGTCCATATAACATGAATTAACTTTCCTCTGCGAATTACGTATTATCACAAATGATATAGTCTATACTGATACAGTAATAACAGGGTACTGATCTACACATCTGTTCCACTTTCAATTCAGCAACATGTTTCAGTTCTCACTTAGTTAAGTATAGAAAGAGCCACAAGTACTTACACAGATTCCTCTTCCTTCTGCCTCGACGGATCTAGAAACACAGATCTCCCACACTATAACAGCTTGTACCCGTGTCATGTTCGTAACAATTATTGCGTGATCAAATCATCCCAGTCATCAATAGTGTATTAACAGTGTGGTGCAGCTCATGTTTACATTTTCTGTTTCATATAATTCTAACCACTCCTTACAAAAGAATGAAATACATAGGCCTGCTCAAAATACAGGTCGACAGCTATTTTGCAAATATTTTCATGTTTATAATGGAGGTGTTTATTTCCGAGAGACGTCTTAGCGTCATTCATATCATATGGCAATATAAAATGAGCTACTGATTTGTCTAAGGGGAGACGAACATCTCTGATCTTGATAAGCCATGCACATTGTGTTTTCATACCATTCTTCAATGACAGGCACTTCTTCCTGCAGATGCAAACAACAGCCAGGGACACTGCTACAACAGCTACTGCAACACCAAAGCCAACGCCCACTCCTGCTCCAAACGATAGCTCACCTGAACACAGAGAAAGAGATGTTAGTTTGGATAACTTCATCTATCAAAACAAGTCATCGGGTAGATATGATATCCGAACGCCCAGGTTAGAGAAATTATATATTGTTGCTTAGACCTTTGGTCTGTCTTGAAGTGCATCACATTTAACCTGCTTCATTGTATTCTCAAACCATGGAAGGGGTGTGAAAACTTCAAGTTTAATGATCATCTTTCCTTATTCTAATTAAGAATACCTTTCTTGGAGACGTTATAAACGTGAGCTACAAAAAACTCAAACGACGAACCGCTAAAATCATTATCGGTTTGACATACCATTGTCGACTGCAGCAGTGACTGTTGTACATGATGCCGTCACTGGTGACGTCCTTGCAGCGCCCTCTGTAGCATAGAGCCTGAAGAAGACGGTCCTGTCTCCAGACTCAGGTAGCTGCACCTGTCTCCTCACACCATCACTTTCAACAATGGCGGAGACTGTGGTCCAGTTAGCCTGTGGCAGTCTTTGTTCCACCAGGAACCCTACGCCTCTTGTCCCATCATCACCACCAGGCGTCCACTGAAGGATGTAGCTGCCGGCTTTGTTTTGACACTGGAAGTGGTACAGAAAGCGTTGCTGTATGTGATGAGGGACATAGTATAGATTGAACAAGGAAACGACGTGGAGTTTCATGATATGATCACAAGAAAACAATCACTCTAAGGGTGTGTATATATGTGTGTGTTATCAGTCAAAAATTAATTTGTTACAGTTGTCCTTTGCAAACATGGACACAAACAATAACATACCTTAATCAGTTTCCTATAATAGTGTTTCCGTAAAACTACTTATATTGCAAGTAAAAGGCGAGTTCAATTATTTCATTCAAACTTACCTTTCTTTCCAAGTTGAAATTGCATTCGGAACCTTCCAAGTGTGTTTGTGACGTTTACATAATACACTCCATAATCCGTCTCTTCAACAATATCTGTGACAATATATGACGTCATGGCCTCGTCATACTGGCGCCATTTTGACAGGTCGACAGGTTCTGCACTACCTCCATTCTGTTTAAACCAGGTGAAAGTCGGTTGTGGAAAGGCCAGGATGTACACCTGTAATCTGATTGGCTGTCCTATGTCAACATACACGTCCCTCCCTGGGGGGTATTGGAAATTGAGCCGCGGGGAACCTTTAATGTAAGAAGTAATTCTTTTCACGTGTTTCTCCCTGCATTGAAAATATTTCTTTGTCAAGTATTTTATTGCAATGACAGTGACTTTATAGTTTTATACATCAGTGCAGTTTCTTTATCGAAAAGTCGTCCTTCTTGTCAAATACATTGCTTCTTGACAAGTCAGTATGAGGATATGAGTCAACATATCACCTTCTAATTTCCCATAAAATTTACGCTCAATATTGGACATACTACTTCCAGGTGGCATACGTGGCTGTAGAATATATCAATAGATGTGTGAATATCTTGGTTATTAAACCAGATACCTTTAGAGTCTCATCAAGGTACCTACATTTTATATTTACTGTTACTGATGCTGTCATTTCACCAACTATGTTCCTTGCAAGACACGTGTAGACGCCGCCGTCAAGACAATCCGCTCCAGTCCAGTTGAAACTGGCGGTGGCTGCCTCTGTCACATGGTTCAGTCGAATAGTGCCGTTCATGATGGAGATGCTGGAGAAAGGATTACTGTCTACTGCGCATGACAGAACCACAGAGCCTCTTTCGTCAACTCCAGCTGCATTGGACTGACCATTAGCCATTAAAACTGCAGATGGTTTATCTGAAGAGTGAAAGGCGGATTTAAATTATACCTTTACTTTGTCCATCCGTCGTAGTTGTAATGCGACTCGTCTAAATTATGCAAACTAAGAAACATTGTGATATGTATCTTCACTTCATTTTAGATAAAATATGTCAATACAACAGTGAAGACGCTGAAATATGCAAACCATCTCTGTAAATATATATGATGTATCAAGTAAGTTTGGGGTTGGTGGGGTAGCCTAGTGGTTAAAGCGTTCGGTCGTCACGCCGAAGACCCGGGTTCGATTCCCCACATGGGTACAATGTGTGAAGCCCATTTCTGCTGGCCCCGCCATGATATTGCTGGAATATTGCTAAAAGCGGTGTAAAACCATTATCACTCACTCAAGTAAATTTGACCACCTGTGTTTTATATTCCATATTTCATACAAACTAGTTCCAGCATGTCATCATGTTTCATTCACTTTAATAATCATTCTCAGCACGCCGTGAAGTTTCCGGTTTACAATGGATCGTAAAAGGCGACCAGAGGGATTGGGTTATCAGCCGTGGTGATGTTACATGTATATCTTTGGTTGTTTGTCATGTTATCACAATTGCCGTAAATTGATGCTCATGATGTCAATTACTCTATTGTCTGATCCAGACTCTATTTTATTATACATGATTTGTTTGTTGTTTAACGCCAGTTGTTGTTGAATCGTTTCTGGACCAGACAATCCAGTGATTGAAATCATGAGCATCGATCTACGCAAGTCAGAGGGCCAGATCCCGTTCGTCGCCTCTTATCACAAGCATGGTTTACTCTAACATTAAATGCAGCCATACGCACATTGGACATCAAGTGAAACAGCAGGACTCTGTGTTATGCCATATGTGTTAGTTGCCGTGCACACGTAGCTGCCAGCCATGGTCCTAATTGCTGCACCAAGACTGAGGACCTGTCCAGTCACGACTGTCTGAGATCCTTGTTTCCAGGAATATGAGCATGCAGGTCGACACGTGCTGACACACGTGACCTGGGGTACGACGTCAGCCTCCTTGACTTGTACAGATGTTGACGAGATGCTGGCATTGTACGGAGGATCTGTAAGATCAGTGCTACGAATCAATTCAAACTTGGTTTTTAGTTACATAAACGAAAGTAATTAGAAATATAACTCAATACTGAATACGTTCTTCTAAACGTTCCATTTGTATCATCAAGGAGAAACACATGTGTCGTTTTAGAATATAAATATATATAGTGTTATATACACATGCACAAAAATTAAGCGCCACCATATTCATAGTCTCTTGATTTCACGTGTGGGAATCAGAAATACGAAAGATGATTGAATTAGGCCTCCATAGTTTCATGAACCCACATCTGTCCAGATACCACAAGGAAAGGAAACGAACGCTGAAAGATGGCAAGTGATAGGCATGAAAATTGCTGGCATGTCATGCAGGGCCACTGCAAGACAAATGGGTCGTCATCAGTGTTATCACTCGTTTGATTGTCAAACATGGTCAAACCAATGATGTCAATGACAGGCATAGGTCTCTTAGTCCAAGAAAGACCTCTAACAGAGAGGATAGACATCTTTTAAGGATAGTCAGACGAAATCCATTTGCCACATGAACAGATTTAAGACTGCAGTGAATTATCCATCAGATATAACGCCAGAAGACCAGTAAAACGTCCTCAACTGACTGGGGGCGGTCGGGTAGCCTAGTGGTTAAAGCGTTCGCTCGTCACGCCGAAGACCCAGGTTCGATTCCCGACATGGGTACAATGTGTGAAGCCCATTTATGGTGTCTTCGCCGTGATATTGCTGGCATATTGCTAAAAGCGGCGTAAAACCATACTCACTCACTCACTCACTCACTCAACTGACTGAGAGGCACATGGGGAATCGTCTGATATGGTGTTGTGCCCATAGTCGATGGAACTTGGCCAACTGGAGAAGGATCCATTGGTCTGACGAGTGTCGAATGCTCCTTTGAACTGTTGATGGTCGAATACGTGTTTGGAGGCAACGTAATGCTCGTTTTGCACCAAGTAACATCCAGAAGACCTTAGCATGTGGCAGGGGGTTGTGTTTCCTTCGGCTGCAAACTTCCGCTGGTGACAATTCGTGGAAACCTGAATTGCTAACAATGCCAAGATGCCGTTCTTTGTCCAGTGGTAGTCCCTCATTAAGACAACCATCCTCTTCAGACAAGACCTGTTTACATGGACGACAATGCTAGACCACAAAGATCTCGGGCAGTTTTGGCTTATTTGCGTCAAGAAGCTATTGTTACTCTTCCTTGGCCGGCCTGTAGTCCGGATCTTAATCCGATTGAGCATCTCTTGGACATTCTTGGCCGGAAAATCAGACATAGTGATCCCCCAGTTCAAAATCTCGCTGGACTTGAAGCCGCACTTCATGAAGAATGGATCCGTTTGCCTCAGAGAAGCATTCAACGACTTGTAATGAGTATGAGGGCGTAGGGTTGAAGCTGTGGTCAATGTCCGTGGATCATACACACGTTACTGACGTTTCTGTCTTGCAATAGACTCTGCACACCCTAGGGTGTCTATGTGACAACTGATTTGATCTGCTGATATCATGACAGTTACATGACAGAAAAAGTTTTTCAATGTTTTCTAATCCTTCAATTTCTGGTCTTGGGTAAAATTCCATTCTGCTCATATTCTTTTGGAACACAAGAAAAACTTGCTTTGGGACAACTTTTGCATCACATGAGGTTTACATATACGGCTTATAACACTCGTACATACATCTCGTTATATTAGAAAGAAACAGCTCACAAATATGGTCGGTGGCGCTTAACTGTTGTGCATGTGTATACTATGATCAATTCAAACTCAAAGCCTTTTTTTATAATATATATTACAAACCAAGCAACACTTTCCCAATACACACGTACAGTAGTGCTTTCAAATAGCATATTTATCATTACAGGGTATTTTGTTCAGCAAGTAATATTACACTATTGAGTATTTATATATACATTATGAACCTTCCACTTTGTGCTGTACAGGCAAGTTAGGAAAAGTATAATCTATCTTTGTTCAGTTTAATTCAATCGGAATAGTGTTCAGAGTGACGGTAACCTTGGCATTACACCATTTGTATGCAGTTCAAAGTTGTAGACATTCCACTGTGGTTACACTGTCTAACAACAAGTACCACCACATACCGATGTGTATCTGGTAATCTATAGTTATATACCTACAGTCAGGAGTTATCATCAGAACGTCGCTATCTCCCCCCAGGCCCTCATCCTCTGTCACGTGGCAGGTGATATCTTGTGGGTCATGACTCTCAACCAGAACTGTTAGACTAGCGCCACCTGGCGAGTTAATGTTGACACCATCTATCTTCCAGGTGTAGGTGAAGGTCAGTCCATGATCTGCAGGCAGTGTTGTAGATGTAGATGAGCACGTCATTGTGACGTTCCTGCCAACCACGGGAGTAGATTGAAGTGATATGACTGGCTTGGTTGGCTCACCTGAAATGATTGTTGGCACGCTTTTACAAGACACACAAATTTTGCTATGATAAGTCGTTTATTTGTATATATTATGTCATTTTATATATTATTAGAGTCAGGTGAGGAAGACACACAATCCTTTCTATTCTGATTTGAGTTGGCTCCTGATACACATGCATATCGTATGCACATGGTTGATTTATCAAATGTAAACAACATACCGATGACTATAAGCTTCAAGCCACAGTTCGGTATATGACTGGTAGACCCCGCAGTGCTACAATTATAATGTCCTGCATCCGATCTTGTAATGTTCTTCAGCACAAATGTGATGTTCCTCGAGGAATAGCTGCCTTCAAAAATTACTCTATCTTTATATGGATCTGTGGCTATGAATACGTCCGATGCTGTAAGAATAAAGGCTATCACACCACTTGGTGTAACAAAGTAGAATGAAGATCCTGTCCCAAGACCACCTTGTGGGATGAGGAAGCTGACTGTACTGTTATCTCCAGGGTAGGCGATGGCTGTAGTCTGACTCTCAGCATCTGAGGATGGAAATGTAGGGCTAAAAATCGAATTGCATTGATATACACTCACCTAGAACAACGAGCGTCTGTCCACAGTTCGGAATGATATCACTCAGTCCTCCGTTACCACAAGTGTAAGTCCCAGCATCAGATCTGCTGACATTGTTCATATCAAAGGACACAAGCCCCGCCGACAAGTTCCCACTGAAGTGTGAAGGAAGAACAAGGTGCCGGTTTGCTGTGTTAGCGAGGAGGACGCCGGTCCCATTTGGGTTTAGCACATACATTGCAGTTACAGATGTCCCTCGTGGCACCTGCCACCTGAATCTGGCCGTTTCCGTCTCTCTAACGATGACACTCTCACCATCTGTGACTAGAAAAAGTCGACTTTTCAACATATTGAACACAAATACCCTAACGTTTCAAATACGTATAAAACCTGTGTAAGTGCAAATTGAGAATGTGAAATATCGCGAATGAGCCTGCACAATCTCAGCGACCACTTTAACATAGAGTCAGTTATTTGGTACTGCTATACATGCAAACACTGGTTATCTGCAACAGTGAGGAATTTATGGATGTTTTCAAGTTGTATTTTATTTTGTATATATAAATTCAATAGAATTTGCACAAAACCGTTTCCTGTTTGTGTTATACAGTTTTATTAACAAAGGTATTGTTCATGGTATTCTCTCTTACCTGTTCTTCGTTTGGGCCAGGTTAATGAATAGCACATGTATTTCATGTGAGTGGGAATCTTATTTATGATATCGAGGATTTTGGTTTGCTGATTGGATCATCTGCCTCAACGAGAATGTACCTCGTGGTGTCGTACTAATGATGTTGAGCTAAAGATGAGAGGTACTAAAGAGAGTGGTCATGAGATTAGCATATATATTGTTTGTAAAAAAGTCCAATGTTATTATGGCATAGAATGGATAGTATTATATATGAACTAAAGTTCTAGCAAAAAACGTCTATTGAACATATGAAAGTGGTTGTCTTCAATGTAATACTATTTATTTCTTGTTAGATGTGAGAAGTAAGGTATCGCTTATCTCCCTTTTTTTGTATCTGTCATACTACTGTGACATGTGCTATACTGTGTTATTTCTAAATGTGATTAATTCAATATTAGTATGTTGTTGTTGTTGTAGTGTGTATGGTTTTATGCCACTTTTAGCAATATTCCAGAACTTTCATGGCCGGGAACACCAGAACTGAGCTTCACACATTGTACCCATGTTGGGAATCGAACCCGGGTCTTTGGCGTGACGGGGCACGGGTGGCCTAGTTGTCTAAGGCGCCGCGATTCGCTGTGCAGAGTTGCGTCCCTTGGGCACGCAAGAAACCTATGATTGTGGGTTTCAATCCCGGTTCGCCCCAATTATGTTTCTAGGTTTGTCAGCACCATACCAGTGCTCGTGGGTTTCACCGAAGTGGTAAATGTCTGAGACCTGCATCACTTCGGGCTTTCCTCCCACATTAAGCTGACATGCTGCGATATAACTGGAATACTGTTAAAAGCGGCGTTAAACTCAACTCACTCACTCACTCACTCACACTTTGGCGTGACGAACGAACGCTTTAACCACAAGTCTACCCGACCGCACCCCCCCCCCCCCCAACCCTTCAGCGAGTTGAGCATTCTTGCCTAATCACGGTGTTTTAGATGTCACATCCATTCAAATTCTATTTGCTACAGCGTCATATCAAAAAACGTTTAAATATGCTACAGAATCGAAATATCATGAAAATCTGTTGATTCTGGAAAAAGGAAAGACGCCCAAATTTCACTTTATTTTGCATAATGACCTATAGTTTTAAAATGCACGTTCCGTATGGCTAGTATTTCCTGGCGCAGAATCAACTGCAAGGACAACAGTGTGACGTCACAAATACACACCCACCCACCCACCCACGCACAACACACACACACGCTCACGAACACATGCATGTATAACGCTATATAACTGCAGTTACTTGAACGTGACGATAAGCCCTATGTCCCCTCTCCTATTTGTTGTAAAATGCCGTAACCCTAAACGTGTACTTTTAACTCGACATAAGGTATCCTCTGACGTCTTGGTGGTGTGTTTCAGGACTGGGGGTTGGAAATTGTCAGGACGTCGCTTGTACCTGTGACCTACATTGCTGTCAAAACCCCCGTGGTGGCGTCATTGTGCTTGTTTGAATGCTATATATATACATAACTGGTGAATGATTGCTGGACAAATGATACTAAAGTGATATCACCTGTACACAGAGGGGCTGATGTGGTGTCACTGCCCGGGGATTAACTTCCTCTTATTTCTATGCATCTTTACATACATGGCTTAGCATTCAATTACACATACAATGGGTGCGTTATTCCGCTAGTGATCGCACAGTGAGTGGCATAGGCCGGTGATAACACTGGTGAATACGGGACAGAGGAACGTCGACACCTCCGATTACCTACATGTTATATGTACACATCGTCCAACCGTTTAGAACAAATCCCTTGTGAACAGCCACATGTATGACTAAGCATGTAATCGGAGGACATCACGTACTGCGCGTTAGAGGGTTAACGCATGGAGGCCTGCTTGTTGTTAAGTCCTGTGCACAGCGTGTATAATTACATTAGTCAGGTTATTGCTAGAGTTTAACGATCTCAAGACTGAAAGAATATCTTTATTGAGAGATTGATCGGAACCTGATTCATTCCAAAGAATGGCATACACGAGTATGTACGTTCTACTGTACAGCGCACACGAGAATGTACGTTCTGCTGAACAGCACACACGAGAATGTTCGCTGTGCTGGGCTGTGTGCAGTGAAGCAGTTCAACTGTACTATTTTCACGTATATAATTCACATATACTTACATCTGGCACCACATGAGATCAGGATAATAATCCACAAATGGCGTATTTTGATCTCCATGAAAGATTTTGCACAGACTATTTGTAGACTTCCCTGAACTGACATATACACATGTTGGTATGTAGTCGGGTATATCTACTTCAGGTGAGCCTTTCAACTTCCGGGTGGTGTGTACAGGGGTAAGTGTTACTGTGACACAAAGCAACAACACATATATACCCGTCAACCACGCATTAATATCTATGTCATGTTAAGGCGGTCGTTGTGTACATTATTGTGCCTTGGTGTTAGAGAGTTGGTTTAAAGGGGCTTTAAGCAGTATTCAGGTTGTATTACACTGTGTCAGCTTAATGAGCGAGAAAGAGCAAAGATTGATTGTTGTGAAACCAGCGAGCAAGGATGTTGTGCTGACAGAACAATAATCGTAATCAGAGAGAATTTAGGATCCTGGGACGACTATGGGACGTAACTCTGTTCATTGTCTTAATTGACCGGGTCACTTGACAATATGACTTCATGATCACAATAGTCTTTGCAATGGCATCAACGCATAAGGTGGAATAAGGGCTCTTTCTGACTGTGAATATGCATAATATGAGACATTAGGCAAACATTTAAACTTGAAAACGAAACAAGGATCTATACCGAAACGCCGCCTTAACAAATTGTGTCTACTTTGTCATCCGTCAGCTTCTAAGTAATGCCTGTCAAACAATTCATAACCATGAATGTTACCAGATGAGTTAATATTGATGTGAACTTTGTTCATTTCATTTTAACAAGTGGGACTAATGAAAAGCACTAAATGCATAATTAAGACTAAAATGTATAAATTAACAAAATGCATATTTTTTTAGGTTTTCAGCAAATATTTCCCAGCTATGAGCAATTCCTTCTTCTGGGATGTAGCTAATAAGAGTACAAAAGGGTGAAAGAGTCAATTTGGGTCACGAACATTCTCATACTTAGATACTTAGAAAATAATGTTCTCGCATGGGCCATACTTGAACGTAGACGAAAGGATAGTTTGACAAATTTAATTTATACAGCCTGCTACAAGGCGATAACTTTTTGACGGCAATCATTAAGTATATATGTCAAGTTGCTGCACTATTCATTGCTTTGTACCGATTAATGAATTTGTCTCACTGGGAACTTGACGAATACTCTCTGGCGTCACGCTGATCACGTTACATGTAACTCCTTGTCACTGACTGAATAGCAAGTCTTATACACAATCGTGTTATACATGTAGTCTATTATCAGAATGTTCCATACTTCGATATTGGGAACACAAGATAATTCACTGATCACAACCTCTTAACGTTTCCTTTGTAAATAATAGCACTTTGATGAAACATTGTATAACAAGTCCAGGTGAAGCTGGAGAAATCACAGAGGCTGCATAAGGGTATCAGGGTTGATGTTAGTTGGCTGACATTCAACTGCAGACAAGGACAACATATAATGAACACAGAATGATGTGATGGTGATAATAGATGAACATGTATATATGTATGTATATATGTATTTATGTATAGAATAAATACTAGGGGGTTATAAGTGGGTGGTACTTATGTGGCTATAACTCATTCAGAGTTAGCACCACCATCCGGCTACACTACCATTAAAGTCATCGGACGCAGTTAGCAAACGTCGTATGGCCGATAATGCATTTTTAATTTGGTGTCATATACACTTGATCCTCTCTTTCGATTAGCGCAAACATTATTGTGGAAAGTTCAATACTCACAGTGGAATATATTTGCTTCATTGTATGACAATGTTGACTGAAATAGTTATTGTTAAGCAAAAGAGTCTTGATACGACTCAAATAAACATAAATCATGACACATTTGTTTGTTTTATGTTGATCAAATGATTGTTTAACCAAGGAGGGTTGAGTGCATATTTGATCTTGTATGTACATTTTTCAAAACAGACTATTGTAAAATCTTCAGTTACATGGACATCACAATCAAATGACATCAATACTCTCTGCTACTGAAGATGGTTTACTGTATTTTTAACATTCAAGACACTAGTTAATTATTACTGTTTACAAAATGTAAAAGATTGAAGAATGATTTTGGATGATAAATAAAATCTCACCCACCTGTCTTTACCATCACTCAATTCTGGAATTTTACACTTTAAAGACCCGTGTTGATATATTTGATGTCAAAAGACACTCCGGTGAGATTCTTTATGTTTCCAGTCTTGGGGGAATGTTATGTAAGGATACTGGAAAATATATGTAATATTTGTACATATACATGTATATGTTATTTATCATTGTGTATAATCACTGGGTGAATGGTTAATAATGTGATAAATTCTGATTCTGTTCTGTGCATAGATGATCTGGAAACCTGTAGATACTATTTAAATAATTATATTGAACTCTAGTTAATATATTCTGTGTGTTTTTCATAATGAACATAATGAACTCAATGGATCTATTGTCTCATACCATGACTGTGAATTTGGATGATAAATACCTCCTGTCTTTATCATCGCTCAAGCCTTGGAATTTTTTCTCTTGTAAGAATTGTGTTGATATATTTGATATCAGAGACACTTCGGTGAAATTCTTTATGTTTCCAGCTTTGGGGCTGGAGAATTTGTACATGTATAAGTCATTCATCATTGCTGGAATATAGCTGAAAGTGGCATAAAAACATAACACTCACTTTCCCTGAAGAATAAAGAAGCTTCAAGGCCGTCACGTTCACATGAGCCTTGCGTTGCATGTGCGAATTTAACACTGCTGAATGTGAGGAACAAACAACTCAGTCTGCTTGACAATTGACATATTTATTCAAGTACATAGTTTATATAGTAATTTTTTAGATTTGTAACAGAGATTAACACTTTTTTTCAAATGGTCTGTCTTGTCAAACCTCGAGAAGACTATATGATAAATAACCAGCTGTTAAAACTGCGATCGTTGCCAAACAAAGGGGAGATGAAATGGGGTTTGAAAAGACTTTCATTATCATTGCACTGCAAAGCGACGTGGATGTATGTGTATGTGTCGCTGCTTGTTCGAGTCTAGACTTATGCCAGTTATACAGTAATGGTGTGAAGAGATACCCAACTCAGACACATTGTACTGTATCTCCTTACTGCCGAGTGCCAGGCAGTGTAACAACGAGTTCTATCATTTTATTATCTTTTGATACCCCTGACATTCCGCTTGACGATGCAGGCAATCATGGAAACAACAGTTTTCTCCAGAAGATACACACAGTGCCTATTGCATTTTGGGGAAAAACCCATGTCATCATTGTCACAGCTGGTGTCATGTATTATCATAATCTTCTTGTCGCAACAGCTAACGGATATCAAGAGGCTCCAAATGAAAGAAGTAAGACTGATAATAATGTACTTTTTCAAAATCATATTTATATTTTGAGCGTACACCCAAGAAATGCAGATGTACATAGAGAACTGAGTGACGATTGGGTAATGCTGCCCCTCAATATCATAACGATAATTCCGCACACGAGATTGGAAAATAAGTTAACGCTTCATACGTACGTCAAGTCTACTATGAGGCTTCATGTGTATACTATGTCGTGGCATGTGTCTTTGTGAAGCCCGCCGTATTGTCCCTACTGCACAGTGCTTTAGTGACTACAGCTATATCTAACCATCCTCAGAGAATACATAATCTCTCATGAGCTGTCTTTAAAAATATGTATATGTATATACATGTAAATATGTATAAGTTTCTGAAAATGAGATTGCTTTGGTGAAACAATGTACATCTCTGAAATCAGTAGCTCTTATTGGGTAAGGAGTTTAAGGCAGCTGTGTAGGAAATCTTCAGTTATAGATATGGCGTCAACGCTTGGTGCAGCAGGAAAACTGATTTGAAGAAACCCATGATCAGAGGTACGTGCGGAAAAGCTACGAAGGGTAACCACAACGAATCTGAGAGACACACGATCACGTCTGGCACACCTACGGGACGCAACTCGGCACTTCGAATGATTGCGTCTCAGACGTTTTCAAATGGAAAGATAGAGCCAACCCACTGATGTAAGCCAAGACCTCATGGAAGACGTATAACGAGACATGTGAATGTGCTGCTTTGACCTTCGTACACTGTACACAATTTGGTCTTTGCAGTTAGGTCTCATCATTAGCAGACACCGCCATGTTCACGTACTGTTTCTCTAGTTTCTCGTAAGTTGGTGCTTCAGTTGGCGTGTCCCTGTCAGATGTGAGGGCGTCGTAAGTGCTGCCAGATGTCCCCGCGCCTGTAATGATATTATTACACATCAGCCTGTGGTCGCCCCTGTACAAACCATGCACAGGAAACCTATTTGTGACAAGATTGAGCTCGCAATAAATACTAGTGGTGGGTAATCAATCTTAATCCTCCTTGTGACCTTAATATTTTATGAAACAAGGACATACGACCTGCATATCACTGAAACGATCGTCAATAACCAGGTTGAAACATTCGCATTGAATCCTAGCATTGGTTGATAAGGATTGGATATATACCTCTTTTCTTTATGTACTTGAAATTCCGCCATTTCATTCGCCAAGGAGCGATCTCGTGTCATTCTATTTTGAATCTGCCTTTGTCGCTTTCTTACATAAAAACAATCATATTTTAGGCCACTAAATGCTTTATGGTAAACAAAACAACATCGACCACCGTCTTCTTCCACAGTCAATATTGTTTTTTTCGGGTCCAGCAATGTGACTAATGTCCAGTCTATAATCCTTGTTTTACCCGACTGACGATGTTGCTGGCGACTGTGCTGAGTTGTCACGGTAGATGCAGCTACCTCATGATATCTGTATAGAAACAGTAGCGTCACATTGCAGGATATTCTATTGTGTGTGTCCATATAACATGAATTAACTTTCCACTGCGAATTACGTTTTATCACAAGTGATATAGTCTATACTGATACAGTAATAACAGGGTACAATGATCTACACATCTGTTCTGCTTTCAATTCAGCAACAACATGTTTCAGTTCTCACTTAGTTAAGTATAGCAAGAGCCACAAGTACTTACACAGACTCCTCTTCTTTCTGCCTCGACGGATCTGGAAACACATATCTCCCACACTATAACAGCTTGTACCCGTGTCATGTTCGTAACAATTATTGCGTGATCAAATCATCCCAGTCATCAATAGTGTA